CGTTGGACTGCAACCGTTACAACAAATGGAGATGAGACACGTTTCAGTCGTGTTGTTATGACCAGGGGGCTTGCATTGCATCTTCCAACGAGCCAAGCATTCCTGACCACCCAAAATCACTACCAATTAAACTCTCAGCGTAGCTGGTTCTGTAGCTTTCTTAGGCCACGACAAGCAGAATCTGTCATGATGCAGTCACAACCGCACAAGCGTCAAGATATGCGTACGCCGATGCCTATTTCTGCAGACTGCTGTGGAGGTTAAGTCTTCGGCAGGCCAGAAGCCGCTAAGGATGAGAGCTTGTGTCAAGTTCCACATCCTTGCTCCCTCATAGACTCCCCGCTTCAGGTTCCGACCCACTCGAGCTTTTGAGGAGTTGCAAGTCGCAAAGCTCCCAGTCGAGCCAAGCAAAGCCGTGTTCCCCCCAAAACTTGCCCTTCAGGCGGCACCGCTTTGGACCGACTTCACCAATTGACGGACTTCACAGCCGGCGGCCCAGCCGGAAGCCCAGGCGGTGGCCCAGCCGGCACTGTCACCTCTTCCATTCGGATTGATTCGCCGGGTCAGGCGACTTGGCAAGGACAGGCAGTTGCCGGGTCGCGGTAAACATCGACTGCATGACTTATACTGGAAATCGAGTCATCTTCAAGTGGTCGATCAGCAGAGAGGTCAAAATCACTGGATGTCCTGGCAGAAAAGGCTAGCAGCAGGAAAAGGCTAGGTTTACAATCTAGCAGTTTCGCGCAGACCTTTCTCTTACGTAGAAGGCACAGTTTGAAGAATCCTCTTCCAATAGTACAGGCCAACCTTGCACCTGACAAATACACAATTCTTGCACAGCCACGTTGAACCTCCAGTGCCAACGGCGATCGGAAATGCTGGGGTGTCTACGGGATGTCTCCCACGAAAGCCAATCATGGGGCTCTTATCGAATCATCAGATAGATATTTTTTATGTAGGCTGGTGGTAATCACAACATTCAGGCTGGATCGTGACATGGCAAAACAAGGCAATACTTAAAGCGAAATCCTGTGAGCCTTTCAGCTCTAATTATTGATGGAGCACATCTTGCCCAGAGACTCCAAAAGCGTCACTCAGATTCGGCGAGAAAGAAACCACATTGCTGGTCTCTACTAAGGGCGCCAAGTATCTGAAGCGCCTGATTCCTTAACTACCTTAGCCTGTGCTCTGCTGCTTTTTCCCATTCTGCTTGCTTCAACCTCAAGCTCCGGGTCAAAGCATCCTCATCACCCACCTATCTGTCCGGCCGACACAATCTATTTAGTCTCGGAGATCTTAACAGGCATTTGACACCCACGCGGACAGCTGAGCAGGATGATAAAATTGATTAGATAAGGCAAGGTTACCTGGCAGGTGTTATCTGGCAGGTGGGCAGTGTCCTAAACAATCTTTCGTGTTCCAATGGCTGTCCCACAAGAGCCAATCATGTGGCAATGTTCGAGACATCGGATAAGCTGTAAGGCACCTTGTTACTAGAAGCGATGCACTTGTTCCTAATAGCTTCTTGTTACTACTAGTAAGGCACTTGTTGCTACTAGTAAGGCACCTTGTTCCTAGTAGCTTCTTTAGACTGGTGGGAATCACAACATTCTGGAACGTGACATGGCAAAACAAGGCAAAAGCGGGCAAAGGTCTACATAAGGCGGTCGCGGACTCACCAGCCAATCACGGCATAATTGTGGACTGACCACAGATGTCAATTTACGGATAAATGCACAAGAAACACAATGTTGAGAATGCTGGGTATTGCTCTATGTCGAAGCAAATACAAGACCAATCGCCGACCAACGGCTGGCGCATCAGTAGCCCACATGCCCACATCAACGCCAGCCTGGGAATACCTCACAAGATGTTGCACAATTTTCAAGTAAATGTGCTCACACATTAATTCACGGTCCAGCAAACTCCCAGGTGAGGTCACGAGGTCCGCTAGGTGTTTCCAACATTTGGCTGCCGTAACTGTCGAAACCTGTTCGAGAAGAGCTGTTGAGTGGCACTGGTGTCAGAAGCTGAAATTAAGATGAAGTTGATTCTGAGCAGCTAAAGGATCAGTACTTTCCTTGCCAGAGCTGGGAACACTGCTTCCGATCATCTCCCTTTAAGACCCAAACCTGTCTGCAGGCGTCAAAACGAGAGTACAAAACTCACAGT